GAGGAGGAAATAGTCTTCCAGGAAATCGGTACCTAGTGGAGGAGGAGGAGGAGGAGGAGGAGGAGGACTCTAAAATCAGTATGTGTCACATCTGTAGGAGGAGGAGGAGGAGGAGGAGGAGGAGGACAGATATTAAATCATCTTAACACTATTATGGAGGAGGAGGAGGAGGAGGAGGAGGAGGAACTAAGTTCCACCTGTTGCTATTATTGCCTATTTTTAAAAGTGTAATATGCACTTTATAAGCTAAGTAATATTAATTATTTTAATAAAGGAGGAGGAGGAGGAGGAGGAGGAGGAGGAAACACTTCAGGTTGTAATCTGTTTGTACATCAGGGAACCAGTTTATTGGGCTAGGAAAACTACTTAAAACATAGAATAGAGACCGGGCCCAGTGGCTCATGCCTATAATCCCAGCACTTTGGGAGGCTGAAGTGGGTGAATCACCTGAGGTCAGGAGTTCAAGACCAGCCTGGCCAACGTGATGAAACCCTATCTCTACTAAAAATACAAAAATTAGCCAGGTGTGGTGGCAGGCATCTATAATCCCAGCTACCTGGGAGGCTGAGGAGGAGGAGGAGGAGGAGGAGGAGGAGGAGAGATTGCAGTGAGCCAAGATTGTGCCACGGAGGAGGAGGAGGAGGAGGAGGAGGAGGATCCATCACAAAAACAACATAAAACAAACAGGAGGAGGAGGAGGAGGAGGAGGAGGAGGATGAGTGAGTGGACATGGTAAAGGTAAGTGGGAGGAGGAGGAGGAGGAGGAGGAGGAGGATGTCAACTGTACAACTGTATCACTGTGAAGGAGGAGGAGGAGGAGGAGGAGGAGGAGGAAAAGCCACTGTGTATCAGAATGACTGCATGGAGGAGGAGGAGGAGGAGGAGGAGGAGGAGTACCTGGCTGGTATCCACAGGGATCGGTGGAGGAGGAGGAGGAGGAGGAGGAGGAGGAGGGCCCAGCAGGTCGCGTGTGTAAGTTCTGGAGGAGGAGGAGGAGGAGGAGGAGGAGGATTTCAACTTTTCTTTTGGCAGAACAGCTTGGAGGAGGAGGAGGAGGAGGAGGAGGAGGAGAAATTTGAATTCTCCATGTCGCCCCCCAGGAGGAGGAGGAGGAGGAGGAGGAGGAGGAGTTAGAGTCCGTTTTATCTCTGGTGTACAGGAGGAGGAGGAGGAGGAGGAGGAGGAGGAGAAAAATTATTAGTACAAAAGTAATTTTAGGAGGAGGAGGAGGAGGAGGAGGAGGAGGACATAATGTGATCACCTTAGAATTCAAGGGGGAGGAGGAGGAGGAGGAGGAGGAGGAGGACATCATATTCATCAGAAGAGAAAACCTTCGGAGGAGGAGGAGGAGGAGGAGGAGGAGGACTGCTGGAGAAGTAACTAAAAGCACATGCGGAGGAGGAGGAGGAGGAGGAGGAGGAGGACCATAATAACTGGTCACCTAATGCCCCAAGGAGGAGGAGGAGGAGGAGGAGGAGGAGGAGACCTGATCGAAATATCTATATGCTTAAAGGAGGAGGAGGAGGAGGAGGAGGAGGAGGAAACCAGTCACTTTTCAATTTCCTAATGAAGGAGGAGGAGGAGGAGGAGGAGGAGGAGGAGGCTGCGACAGGTACCAGTCTGTGGTCTGGGAGGAGGAGGAGGAGGAGGAGGAGGAGGAGCTGTGTGGGCAAGAGAGCATTACCGCCTGGAGGAGGAGGAGGAGGAGGAGGAGGAGGACCTGAGATTTTCATAGGAGCGTGAACCCTGTTGTGAACTGTGCCTGTGAGGGATCTAGGTTGCATGCTCCTTATGAGAATCGAACTAATGCCTGATGATCTGAGCTGGAACGGTTTCATCCTGAAACCATCCCCACCTTCAACCCCAGGAGGAGGAGGAGGAGGAGGAGGAGGAGGAAAAAGCGGTGCCTAGGGCCAAAAAAGTTGGGGACTGCTGCTTTAAAGGAGATTCTGATGTCTCTTCAAATTGAAGGAAGCAGGTAACCTTACTGCTAATTGTTTATCAATTTCAACAACAAAAAAGAACTTACTAAAATCTTTTAGACATTCTGCTCATTTAAGCAAAACTATTTTAATCTGAGTTCCATTGAACAACACTTTTTGAAACAGTTAAATGATATCTGTTTCCTGGGGCTCTCGGATTTACAAAAAATGAATTTAAATGTTCCATTTTCCTTGCACTTTTTTTTTGAGTCAAGGTCTCACTCTGTTGTTCAGGCAGGGGTGCAGTGATACAGTCACAGGTTACTACAGCCTCCAACTCCTGGGTTCAAGGGATCCTCCCAACTCAGCTTCCCAAGTAGCTAAGACTACAGGCACACAACACTAGGTGCTAATTAAAGAAACAAAATGAAAAACAAAACAAAACAAAACTTTTGCAGAGATAGGGTCTCACTGTGTTGACCAGACTGGTCACAAACTCCTGATCTCAAGCAATCCTTCCACCTCGGCCTCCCAAAGTGTTGGGATTACAGGTGCAAGCTACCGCACCTGGCCATAAT